AATATAGATTCAATTTTAAATAATCATTTATTATCATTTAAAATTTTAGGAGCTAAATAATGAATGTCTTTTTTTTTGTATTTTATTATTATTATTATATAGTTAATTTTATTTATTATTCATTTTTCTTAACATTAAATATTGTTAACGGTAAAATAAAAATTGCAAAAATTTTATTTTAGTAATGATCATCATTTTACACAAAATAAAATAAGCCAATCACAGGGAAAGCCTGCTATGTTATGTACAGGCAGAGTTGCCATTTCAAATATGAAACTTATGTTTTATAAACTTGGAAGTTTATTATGCTTATCTATGAACTGTCTGTTTTACAATTATGGACCCCATGAATTAATTGTTCATTTACAATTTTCAGTCCTAACTAGTCCAATTTTGTGTAAGGATGAACGGTCCAGTCCCAGTCTTTTAAACCATGATTCTATATCATAAAATTGCTAAATAAAAAGGCCAAGTTAACATCTCAATAATGACCAGTTTTAATGTTGACTTTGCATCAGCTTCCTTTACTAATAACAATTCATTTTATAGACATGATCTGATTTAAATATGGAAAAATACATTACGCTATTTTCATCTGATAATGGGTTACTTTTCATTAGGTATAATACTGTTTTTAAATTTGTAAGTTAGTTAGAGGTTGGTTTTTATCCATCATAATTATTTCCTTTTCAAATTCAATAGACTAGAAAAGCATCTAGTTCATGAATGCTTATTTTGTTTCCTTGGGTTGGATTTTATACAAAAATTGAACCAAATACTAAAACTATGATTATCAAGAGAATGTTAATCTCATAATATTCATTATATCAAATTGATAATGCGCTTCACAATTATCAGTTTCAAGTTTTATAATTTATCATTGTCACTTAATTAATATGCAGTATATTTCTTTTTGCATATTGATAAGTTAACCAATAATAATAAAAAAAGAAATGTTTTTTCAGAAACATATTTTACAAAGCATGCGCGATTTAATCCTACTAATATCATTGAGATTGATCGTTGAAGAAGTTCTATTATTATCATTAACAGGAGATCAATTTGGATCTATTATGATTGGGACTTATATATAGTTGGACGAGATAATAATTCATTTTGATATGGAATTAAGAATGGACAATGCCTCGAACCAGTAAGTATGTCATGACCACAATATCTATCCATCTACTATAGCTGAGTTGTACATCACTTACAAAAACATTATATTGCCATTATATCTATATAAAGATTAGTGATCTGTATGTTCATTTAAGACTCTTCACTTTTCCTCTTTAACTACAATTTATTAAAATTATTGTTTATCTAAAAGAGACAAATAAAAAATGAATTATCATAATGACAAATTCAAAGATTACAATTTCCAAGCTGGAAAAGAAGCAGTAAAATATCCAATGACTGGAGCTCCAAAAACTTATCTCGCAGTTGGTGTTATTGGATTTGTACTTATTTTGAACCTTATCAGGTGGTTTTATACTGGTATTTAAATTCTTTAGTTGTTGATTTTTAAATTTTGCTATAAAAAAAAATATTAATAAATTTTCTTTCTCTCCTGATCTTATGTTAGCTCAAAGTTATCAAAAGTGATGATTCTCAATGGTTGACTTATTTGTAAATTATATATAATTAAATTTCCTAGCCTTTTTTAATCAATTATTAATTTAATTAATTCATTTGTTAGGAGTGCATTTGGATTTGTTAATATCACTTATAGATACATGTTTCTATGCATGGATGCTATCTTTCTGATCTCAGCCATGTATAAACACAAAATTAAAATTAAATCCAATAATTTTTTGAATATGTTATTTATTATGACTATTTGTTTAACATTTTTACCAGAATTGATGTTATGTCATAGTCAAGAAGTATTGCCTCACAGGTGATTATCTCACTTCTTTATACTCTACATTCTGTCTTTATGAATAATAATAAAATCCTTTTTATTCAGTCTAAGAACTCAATTAGAACTTTATAAAAATATGGAGGGTGATTATAGATGGCTTACTGACATGAGGTGTGCCATGCATGGATATTCGTACCCTAGTGGTGGTATCACTCAGATTATTGAATCAGGTGTCAATGTAATTGATGACAATAAAGCAGATATTTATGGGTTTATTGAAAATATTTTTGGCCATCTTGAGGATCGTAAAGTCAGATCTCTACTTGAAGCAAAGCTCAAAGCAATATCATACACCGAGGGTGCAAAATGGACAAAGGATGAACTCAGTACAAGTTTTGAGGTGGACGGTTCTATCGCTGGAATTCATTATGCACTTTACTCTGATAAAATACAAAACCAGTCAAAACGTCAGTTTTTTATTGCAATAGTTCAAATTAGCATATCTGCTGGCCCTGGTCATTATTTTATTGCAGGGTATTTTAACGGACAAGAAGAATGCATCAAAAATGCGCTAAAATATTTACTTTACAAAGAGGCTAAAAATAAACTCCTTATACATTAAAAATTTTCCTTATTCTCTCACATAAATATTTACCTATATACAAATAAATTTTATTATTATTTTTGAAATATGTATTAAATAAAATTGATAGCAATTAAACTATTAACCATAAATGATAATATTACAATTGTGAATGTTGAGTAGTAATGACATTAGTTGTTGATACTAATTATAAAATAATACCCTAACTGTATATGTCTTCATATAGATGTTAGTTAAATAATGAATTAATGGGCAACATAGATAATCATGCTGAAATTAATTTTTCATTATATTCAGACTCTTTAATCTAAAAGTTGTTTTACAAGCATAATACATTGGCTAAAAATTTCACAAATAAATCACATATAAAAAGATTATATTTTTTTCCCCTAAAAATAGATTATTCTGAGAAAAGTCTCTCCATATCTATAATCAGTGTTGAAAGTTCAATCAGGGTTTAAAGATTGGAACCGCAATTAGCTGCAATTTAATTTTCATATGCCACAATTTTATATGCTGTAATTAATTGCAATTCAATTTTTATATGCCGTCCTGATTAAATTTTCAATGTTATATCACATGACTGGCCTGATTAACAAATCTCAATATTTATCATATTTCCCTTAGTCCTTTTGATCCTTTGGTTTTATCCAAAATTCCATTATGAATTGAATTATATAGAAATGTATTCGGGTGCTGCCAAAAGATATGTAATACAACATTGCAATTATTCCTTGAAAGGCTTTACAAGAAAATATACCTAGGGATTTGATTGAAACAAATAAGAAAGTATGCATTGAGAACAGTAAAGTATATGGAATGTTATATGAAATGTTAACAGTTCTCCATGCAAATATGCCTTGAAAAATACAAATCACATATATAAAAGAATATATAAAAAATGTTGTTGCATGATTTTTTATAACTGAAATTTTTGCTTTGATTATAACCAGTGCTGACTAAATTCGTAAACGATATTTCATTGATCAAGAGTGATTATTGTAGAAACGTGTATTTAATTTTTAAAGAGGAATAAAGAAGAAAGTTGCTATTAAACTTGGTAATTTTAGAGACTTGTTTACAGCCCAAAAACCAAATCACCAAAATGTATGTGATTTGACCCTCAGCTGATTTTTTTATTTTGGTCAATCTCATTTTCATGCTATGCGAGCAGTATATTTTTTCACCAAATATAATCCTTATATTGCAAGTAAAAAACTCAATTGGCCAGAGAGCCCTAGTTGTCAATTTTACTAATACAACTCCATACCATCATGGTGCAAAAAATATTGCACCAAGTGCAAAATTTTACCAATCTTATAATTAATAAATAAACAAATCATAACATGAATTTCCTGAAAAATACCTTATATTATTATGTTAATATGGCAGGCGCGAAACTCAAATTTGTATATGTTGATCATTGACAATTAGGAACTCTAATGCGGACGGACATTTTATCCCATTGTGACAGAATATGATAACCTTATATTATTATTATAAACCATGTGCATAAAGGTATGGAATAATGCATTTTTCCATATTAGTACTCTTTCAGTATTAAAAGCAAGGACAATCAACTAATGTAAAGCCTTTTTCTCTCGTCCGAATTATATAATTGGAATTAATCTCTTCAGGGCAATAAGCTTACAAAAGTGCTATATCTTTACTGCAGAGGTGCAGAGAATCTTGTTGTTGGTTAATTCTTTTGTCACGAGACTTGGTGAAATTGAACAAGTTCTTGAATGCTATATGCAATAATCATTTTAGTAGAATTTTAACTGAATTCGATTCAATTAACAAATCTATCACAACATTCCATAACCTATTCAATTAACATTATGCAATTATCCAAAGAATCGAACAAGATCACCAAAGTGAAACAAGCTTCTTCGAATTCATCTGCTATTTCTTTTGATTCTCCTAATTCCTGTGTTAGTATAAATAAAAAACTGTCTAGTTTAACTTTTTTGTCTATATGTGTTATTCCGTAGCTCTATGCATTCATAAAACTTGGAGAAAATATTAGATAGACAATAATAAAAAACTTTTATAATAGAAGTGGACCAGGTTGGTTCATGGATAGATAGTATGAAGTAGTAAGATGGAACTGCCATTTTATGGTTTAGGGACCAGCGTGATCCCTCTCTTTGAACACTTACTACTCCGAGAAGCATTCATATAAATAATAAAGATATAGTTATCACAATTTTTAAAATAATAATTTCACATATAAAAATTTTTCGCTAGATTAAATGTAATTATCAATATCCATATCAATGTCTGTCTCTTTGAGGTGCATTCTAACTTCCTTGATACTAGTCTTGTCCATATCTCCATCCTCTTTGGATATTATCGTATTTTTGATGTCTTTCATTTAATCCATAACCTTGATCTTCTGTAATTGTCTTTTACAAGTACATAAGATAACATTTACCTCCAGTGAATCCCTTGGCTGCTAATTGTGAAAATCAGAAGAAAGCCTGTGAATATATTGATTTTATTTTTCTCTATTATTTTTTTCTAAATGTTCAAATTTGATAGTCTCTTTGCATAATCAATCATAATCAGATAATCAGTATGTGATGTTAGATTTTTTTAGTAGATAAAAATTATTAGATTTCTGATTTATAATTCCTTGGTATGTCTACTTCCATGATTAAAAAATATTTTCCTTGTCTAAAAAAACTATACTGCCTATATTATTTTTAATGGTGAATATGTGGACTAGGGTTTCCAGTCCAAAATGTTTTCTCAAAGCCCAAACTAGTTTGGGCAATTTGGCTTCTCAGCATTTTTTATAAACATAAACATTAAAAAATTATACCAATCTAATTTTAATTTAAACAACTTTAAAGTAATTTCGCCCAATTTGGCTAATAGTTTGGGCTTATAAAAAAGTAATTTTTGCCCAAAGTGTTTCAGCAATTTTGGCTGGAAACCTTAATGTGGACAAGGATAAAATGTACATTCATTTTACATACTTTATGCACAATTAAAGGAGATACAACTTCTACACAAGAAGTCTGCAAGTGTGCAGAAAGATTCTTGGAAAAGGAGAAGAAGAAGGTTAGTTGGATATAGAGATGTAATTGAAATGGTGGCTTCTTATCAGGCTGTTGCACCTCTTGAAAGCTCCATTCTGACAAGAGTGGGATAGAAATATCTCTACAAGTGGCTATGCTTTTTCTTTGCCAGGCTCTTGTAACTCTTTTAAGCTGCATCCTGACTAGGGGGAGGCTACTGCAGTGCTCCCAATGATACAATGATGTTGGAATCCAGGGAGGAGTACAAGGCCCTGGGGTTTACCGAGACTGCATCAATCGTCAATGACACTTTCACTAATCTTCCCTCACAGCATCCAGACCAGATAAGGCTGCTGACACGCTAGCCGAAAGTTATCTGCAACTATCCTACCTCTAGGGTAAGGATGGCTCTGCAACTAAGTCGCAACTTTGGAGGAATATTAAGAGAATCTGCAACTCGTTTCAAGCTCAGGAGGTTGCAATTCGGAGCAGGGTTGATGACCTTCATCAGGAAAATGGGTACAAATATTATGCGTATATAATACGCAATTGCAGGGATTAAGCATATAATATATGTACAATTTGCATACATAAAAAAATACACGATTTGTATGCATATTATATGCTTAATCCCTGCAATTGTGTATTATATACGCATAATATTTGTACCCATTTTTCTGATGTAGAGTATGACAATTCTTGGCTCCATCAAGCAGATCGAGCAAGGAAGGTTGAGTAATTTATGCGAGTCGATAGGCCACAATAGTTTCAAGATTTAGAAAATTCATAGGATGAGCTTGAAAAAAGGAAGGGTGAAATTATTCCTAATGATTGTGTCAAACTGATATAGAGAGATACGGTTTAGTTAAAAAACAGAGTAGACGTTGTGACTATTTGTTATTGTATTGAGATTTGTTTGTAATTTACGAAAATTCATATTTATTGTTATCGAAATGTATGTGTAACTTACACTACATCACTATATCACACTATATATATATATAAAAATTGCATACGTAATAAATATAAGTTATTAAAAAAAAAAAAAAAAAAATACACGTAAAAAAAAAATCTTTATTCTATATTGAAAAATAATTAAATATTAGTATTTGAATCCATCCATTGTCGATACAACAATCATGGTTGGTTTGACTTCTGCAGGTAAGCAGAAATTTGATAAAAATATCAAAAAAAATTTTTTTTTAATAATTCAAAAAAATCTTTTTGTAAAAAAAAATCAAGGTGGAATCATTTCTTTGCTTGATGAATCAGAAGAACAACTTAAAATTTATGCACTTCAAAGACTTAATTCTGTTGTTGATCAATTTTGGGCTGAAATTTCAGAGGCAATTTCTAAAATGTAAGTCTTTTACAATTACCATTATAATAGTGGATAGATGTAATACATGTGTAAATTGTCCCAAAAGATAGTCATGGCAAAATCAATCATGCTAGAGTTAGAATCATTGTTATCCCCCCAGAATAAATAATTGCATCAGTTTGATCTGCTTATAACTGTTAAAAAAATTGCGGTAATGCAATTTTCATTTGGAAGAATAAAGGTCTCACTTCTCTCTTGGGAACCAAATGTCTTGTCTTGATTAGCGAAATCCTTTATGAAGATGAATGCTTTCCTCAAAGAAAATTATCTGCTTTGGTGGCCTCAAAAGTAATTATACAAATTTAATTCATTCATCCTTTAATTAGTTGATTAATAATAATAATAATAATAATAATAATAATAATAATAATAATAATATTGTTGATGCTGTTGTTATTATTTAGGTCTACTATCATCTAGGCGAATTCGATGACTCTTTAACGTTTGCATTGGGAGCTGGTGAATTGTTTGATACGTCATCTAAATCTGAATATGTCGAAACAATTATTTGTAAGTTATCATAGTGTTTTCTCTCTCTCTTGAAGCATCTTTTGATCATATTTGTTTATCCCGTGAATAACGTTATTCCTTTTGTTCGATTGATTGATCGATTGATTAAAATCAACCAGCAAAATGTATAGATAAATACATCAGTCTACGTACTCGACAATATGAAAATCCTTCGGAAGAAATTGTAATTGATCCTCGTTTAGAAGTTGTTGTTGAAAGAATGTTTCAAAGATGTTTTAGTGATGACGAATTCAAACAAGTAAATTATTGATTTATTATTTATTATTATTCATTTATATATACGCATTTCGCAATATTAATAATGATAAAATAGGCAATCGGTATAGCTTTGGAGTCTCATCGTTTGGATGTTATTGAACATGCAATATTAAAAGGTCAACAAGCATCAGAGCTTCTCTCATATGTTTTAGATTCGTGTATGACATTGGTGCTTAATTTGGACTTTAGAAATAAAGTAAGCAATTAATTAATTATATGTATTATGGATTACATGTTATTTTGTGTATGTTATTATTTATATTGATGCTATATATATATATATATATATCTATAATTATAAATTATTTTAGGTCTTGCAATTAATGGTAAAACTTTATCAGAATTTAAATGAACCTGATTACATATCAATTAGTCAATGTTTTGTCCATCTTAATGATCCTTTATCTGCAGCAAAGTTATTAAAAGATCTTATTTCAAGATGTGATGATGTATGTTCATTTTTTTTATTAATTAAGAATTGTTTAGTTATCATTTATTTAATTGTTTAATTACCATTTATTTAATTATTATTTACATATGCGCATATATATATCAGCATAATTTATTAATGGCATACCAAATAGCATTTGATCTTGAAGAAAATGCAACACAAGAATTTCTTGAGAAAATTATTGCTCAATTCCCAGTTTCCACCAAGCCGCTTGCTGATACTAAAATGAAAGCAACAGAGGCAACAGAGGCAACAGAAGCAACGGAAGCAACGGAAGCAACGGAAGCAACAGAGGCAACAGAGGCAACAGAAGCAACAGAAGCAATAGAGGCAACCAATAGTAGTACGAATGTTGATACTATTTCTGAAAGGAAAGACACTGAAGCGATGGAAACAGATGAAATAGAGTTACAAGTTTGTATACAATTTTTTTAAAAAATGCTTTTGATGATTCAAAAGATAAATTTTTTTAATACAACTATTTAAATTTATTTATATCATGTGTAGCCTGTTAATCCATTTGAAGATAAATATTTAAAAATTCAAAGTATCCTTTCTGGCGAGGAATCAATCAAACTAAACTTGGAATTTTTATACAGGAATAATCATACTGATTTAATAATATTAAAAAATACAAAGGTTTGTCTGAATCATTTAATTTTTCAGGAATTATAATTATTGATATAACACTTCCATCAAATTATCTGACTATAAAGTGCACCAAATAAATATTTGTATAGAATGCATTGGAATCACGAAATTCTGTCTATCATTCTGCAGTAACATTCGCAAATGCTTTTATGCATGCTGGTACCACAAGTGATGAATTTCTTCGCCAAAACTTGGATTGGTTATCGCGTGCTACAAATTGGTCAAAGTTCAGTGCAACTGCTGCTCTTGGCGTAATACATAAAGTAATTATATATATATATATATATATATTTTTTAAAAATAATACAAGAGTCATAATTATTACAAAAAAAATAATCTAGTAATATATTTATTGAACTAACTAACCATTTATTTATATGCTATTGTCATTTCCCTTTATTAAACAAAGGGGCATTTATCACAAGGACAAGCATTACTTCAGCCATATTTGCCACAAGAAGGCGTTAGTGGAAGTTCATATTCAGAGGGTGGTTCATTATTTGCTTTAGGGTTGATTCATGCAAATCATGGTTCTGGAGTATTAAATTATTTAAAAAATGCTTTGAAAAATACACAAACTGAAGTTCTTCAACATGGTGCATGTCTTGGCCTTGGGGCTGCTGGAATGGCAACTGGAAATGAAGGTATGAACACATATTATTTTCATTGTCATTTACCACATTTATCTTGACATATATATAATTAATTTTTTTTTAGAAATATATGAGGAACTTAAGGGAATATTGTTTAGTGATAGTGCAGTAGCAGGTGAAGCTGCGGGTTTAGCTATGGGTTTAGTGATGCTCGGTACTGCCAATGAGAAAGCAATTGATGAAATGTTACAATATGCTAATGATACTCAACACGAGAAGATCTTGAGAGGTTTGGCTATTGGCATTGCTTTAATTATGTATGGAAAAGAAGAAGCTGCAGATTCTTTGATTGAACAACTTATTAGTAATAAGGTACAATAAAAATATTGTTGTTGTAATGTTAATAATAACATTATTATTGCAATATCAATAATATTAATAACTTTCTTTTCTTTTATAGGACCCTATTCTTAGATATGGTGGTATTTACACAGTATCACTAGCATATTGTGGAACAGGCAACAACAAGGCCATAAAAAAACTATTACATGTTGCTGTGAGTGATGTGAATGATGATGTTCGTCGTGCTTCTGTTACGGCTTTGGGTTTGATTTTGTTCAGAACACCAACTCAAGTTCCTAGGATAGTTCAATTATTGGCAGAAAGTTATAATCCAAATGTTCGTTATGGTGCTACTTTGGCTTTGGGTATTTCGTGTGCTGGAACTGGTCTCATGGTAAAAATATTAATAGTGATTACCATAATATCATATTGTTTTTGATTGTGTTTTTACTAATGCTGGTGATGGTATTTTTTAGGAAGCTATTGAACTTTTAGAACCAATGACTAAGGATCCTGTTGATTTTGTTAGACAAGGTGCTTTTATCTCCCTTGCTATGATTCTGATACAACAAAATGAAGCTACCAATCCAAAGGTAATAATCAATCAATTGATCATTGATAATTATAATATTTGTTTATTATCATCATCATTGTCATTTTTATTTTTATGAAAAATTTAATTGATTTTAATTGATATTAATTAATAAAATATGATTGATAAATAACATAAATAGGTGGCAACAACAAGAAAATTATATGAAAAAATTATAAATCATAAACATGAAGATGCAATGGCTAAATTTGGCGCAGTTCTTGGGCAAGGAATTATTGATGCTGGTGATTTTTTAATGACTATTATTAATGATAATAATAATATTATTTAAAGTCATATTTTTAAATATATTATTTATTTTTTGGCAAAGGTGGTAGAAATGTTACAATTTCATTACAATCAAGATCTGGACATTCTAATATGCCAGCTATTGTAGGAATGGCAGTATTCACTCAATTCTGGTATTGGTTCCCATTGACTCATTTCTTGAGCCTTGCATTTACTCCAACTGCACTTATTGGTTTAAATAAAGATTTAAAGGTACAAATGATTTTTATATACAAACATCTATGTATCCATCATTGCTATCATAACAAGTAGATCAAGTATATAATAATATTTTTTTTTTTTGATTGGAAAAAAAAATACTAGATTCCAAAATTTGAATTTATATCCAATGCCAAGCCTTCACTATTTGCATATCCAGCCACCATTAAACCCCCAACAACCAATGTTGTAGAAAAGGTAACAACAAACTATTAATTAGCTAAAAAACAAGCAAACAAACAAAACAAACAAGCAAATAATCTAACTGTCAAATCTTTCCATTTTCCATTTAAAAAAAATCCTTATTAAGGTTGCAACTGCAGTTCTTTCTACAACCGCAAAAGCCAGAGCAAGAGCTAAAAAATCTGAAAAAGAAAAAGAACATTCGGATTTTGATGCCATGGAAACAGTATTTACTAATTTATTATTTAATTATCATGTATTAATTACATGTATTAATTAATAATAACATTTTTTCAACGACTTTAGGATGAGAAAAAAGATACCCTTGAAAATGTTAAAAAAGAAGAAAAGGTAACTACTGATACTACTGCCATCACTAGATTCTATTATATTGTTATTTTTAAATATCTAATAATAATATTATTCTTTTTTTATTGATTTTAAAAGGATGAACAAAAAGATGAGCAAAAAGATGAGCAAAAAGACGAACAAAAAGATGACAAAAAAGGCAAAAAGAAAAAGGAAGAATCGTATGAAATTCTTGAAAATATGGCACGTGTTTTACCTGCTCAATTGAAGTATATATCATTTAAAGAAGATACTCGCTATGTTCCTGTTAAAAAGGTAGAAAGAATATAATAATAATAACAGTTTTTTGTTGATTATTTTTTTGTATTTAATTCTATTTCATTAATTTATAAAATATAAAGGGAATTGTTGGAGGTATTATAATGATGTTGGATAAAACACAAGGCGAACCAGAAGAATTCATTCTATCTAGCACACCTACTGGTAAGAAAACAACCTACTAATCGAAAGTTTTAATTGATGTTTTTGATTATAATTTAGCTGATCATTTAATATTTTTTATTTTAAAGCTACTGAGGTTACCGAGGAGGAAGAAGCACCACCACCAGAGCCTTTTGAATATCCATTTGATGAATAATTATTTGTAAAAAATAATCGTAATAAATTATTTTATATATATATATATTGTATGGCATCCTAATTTGTAAAATTTTTATTTCATTATTATATTATGCTAAATAGGCTATCCAATCAAAAAGTTGTATTTATATTATTTAAAAAGATAGAAATTAAATGACAATTTTGATTGGTTTAAAATTTTTTTTTTTGCCTGTTCTTTGTTCTTTGCGACAGATTCCTTCAAATATTTAATGAAACCAATTTTTTAGTGAAATCTTTACGTTTTCAAAAAGGTTTCAATTTCAACAACGAAAGGTAAAATCAGTTCATGTTTTTTTTATGGTAGCGATGTTTACGCTTTAAAAAGAGTCGATCGATCGGATGGATGGATGAAATGTAATTAATGTTAATTAATGTGTATATCAAAAATTTAAATATCATTGTTTTCTATAATCTTTTTAGCGTTTTTGATGATTTTTAATTAAAACAATAGATCTTTCTTTTTTCAATATTTGATTGGTATATTAGCTTTAGATGACGATTAAACGATATAATGCATACACTCTTTTTTGATAATAAATATCAGACATTCTTTTTTTTTATAAATAATTAGACGATTATTTTCGATAAATCTCTTTTTTTTATTGGCACTAAGCCAGTGATGTCAGCCGGTAGAAAAACCTTGGTCGGTCAAACATATTACATTAAACAATATAATTAATTGTGAATCATAATTATTTAATCATTTCGTTTGAAAAAAAGTAAATAAGAAGCCCTCTTGCCATTGGATTATTTTTGTTTGAAAATTAATTTAATAAACATCTCTTCTTTTAATGTCTTCTCTTTTGTCTTGTGTATTGTGTGTAAGCGGCAAAATGTTTGTACGTGGCAGGAGGGTAGACGATGACAATTTCACTGAAATAAACTTTCGAAACAATTCAGAAAATATGATCCTTCAAGAGACTAAAGAAAATATGTTCATGTTCGATAGTTGAAGAATTCTTTAACATCGGATCGGAACTATTCTCAAGAAATTTTTTTTAATAATCTCATTTATTTTATAGGTTGTGTAAAATCCGTTTGGCTAGTTTAAACGTCTCGATAATTTCCATGCATTTTCAGCGCTCTTTTCATGTAATAAAACAAAATGTACTAGATATTTTCCGAATAAGATTACGCATTTGTTTAGTAAATGGAGCAAACATGTGTTTGATATGCCTGAACCAATATATAATCAGCACAAAAAGACTCTTATTTATGCTTATGAAAGACACAAGGTTAGAATAAATCCTCAGGGCGAAGATGCTAAGATAAGTTGAAAATGTACTTAGATTGATTAAGAAGCAATTTGTATATAGGATTTCCCTTAGAAATTTTATGAAGCAGTTAAATACAGTAAATCTTATGAAACAAGATTAATTAATATATTATTACTGTCAGTTAGTGTGTAAAATTCAATGCCCGGCAGGAACAGGGATGTAATTTCATCATCAACCAAAATTGCCATATAATTTGAAACGATTTGAATCGAATGCAAAATATGAATCGAATCACCTGATTTTTGGTTTGACAATGTTTTGTTTTGATTCAGACCAATATATACTATCTAATACATATAATAAATTAATCCGATGAAAAATTCTTTGACTTTGTTTCAATGAATTATGATTAAATCATACAATGAATTTTTAAAGTTTTTGCTTCATATGTAAATTCGTTGAAACGCGATTTTAAATGCGACTTTCTTATGCGTTCTATCCTATAAAAATTTATGTATGTAATAGGTGCCGAATGCATACTGACACAGAATATATACACAGAAAAATAAACTTTTCTGTACCCAAACATATGGATTAGACTTATACGTGTTTTCTATATTACCGTTTTTTCTTCTGGTCCATCAATTATAGTTTGCTAACCATTTACAAATTTATTAATATGTTTTAGAATTGATAATTTTTAATATTTTTATTTTGACATGCGAACAAAAAATAAAAATTTAATAATTAATCTCTACTAATTTATATATTACAAATTCTTCTAACAAATAATATTTTTCTTCAATATTTAAATTATTTTGATAAGAAAAATAAGGGTGACCACTATAACAACAATACGGTTCATTATTAATACTGTTACACGCGTATAAATTATGAAAATTAACTAATTTTTCATGAAATTTAATATCATCACCAAAATGATCTAGAATTTTTCTGTCATGACGTATTGCACTTCTGTAAAATCTGACTTTACTTAAAATTGAATTATTTATTTGGTTTTGATCAATCTTGAAAATAAAACTTTTGTCTGTTTTAATCCAATAAGCATCATCAGGTGACTTTTTCTTATTATTCCAACAAACTGGATTATATCCACCAATTAATTCTCCTGTTTCTTTAATTTTCATGATGACAACTGTTTTTTCAATATTGTAACATCTTTCCTCAAAAACTGATCTTGAAAAACCATCTCGAGATCCACTTAGAATCAAATTAAATTCATATGCTAAATCATTTGAATTAATTTCATTGATCCAACTTGAAATTAAAGATTTCATTTCTAAACTTAATAATCTTCTGATTCTTGGACCTTTTTGAAGTAATAGCTTTGGTTGCCATTCATCAGCATAATTGTAATATTGAAGTAGTTCATCATATATTTCTTTGTCAATAACCTTTTTATAAGGTTTGATTTTCTCATTAAAATCATTTGAAGGGATCATATTAAATCTCATTAATTGAATAATGTTTCTCAAAAGTGCTTTCAATTTGATTATATTATCATTGTTCCATTCTGAAATATCTTCTCCTAGTTTGATTAATTTTAATTTTTTATTTTTTGATGGATGCTGACCCAACTCAATTGCTATTTTTCTTTTTTTCTCTTCTTCTACTTCTTCCAAATTTTCAATTTGTCTAATTCCCCATTGAATAATATGATACCAGATATTAAGTTCAGTTTCTACTTTTAAATCATTTCTTTCCAATATTGGAAAAATCATTGATTTTTCAATAACTTTATAACCATCATCATCAGAATCAAAAAAAAATAATTCAGGATTTTCACAAATCAATTCTTCACAAACATTTTGAAGCATACTAAATGATATTTGACATTGTAATGAAAATCTATAAACATAAATTAAATTTTGTTTAATCCACTCATTTTTTTCAATGATTAGATAATTTTGTAAATCCTCAATTAATTCATTAAAGCATAATTCATCACATGTCTTGAGCAGTTCAAGAATTTCATCTGGATTCATGCCATTAATGTTAACAATTCCATTGTAAATATAACTTTTTGAAAAAATAAATGTTATAAATAATAATTGAAAAATTAAGCAATTGATATAAAAGAATGGAAAATAAATAAATAACTCTTACGTTAAAAGAACTTTGAATATTTTTGGAGAAATATTTGGTTTCTCAAATTGAATAACACCATCTTGAGATTTGGTTAACCAATTTTCTGACAATGCAGTTTTAAAATATGGAGACCTTGCTTTTAAAATCTTGGAATGAGCCTTAAAGATTTTAATATCATCTTCATCACCAACTTTAATTTCTATATCATAATAATCTGATTCATTTAATAGTTGGGTTAAATCATTCACAAGTTTAAGAATATGTTTTAATGGAAGGGCATTGTTATTGGATTTAATAAGATTGTTGAAAATTTGGTTAATCTTTTTTAATGATGAAAAACTATTATTAGACATTTTGTTAAAGCTAAAATTTAATATTTGTATATGAGGCAAACTAGACAAAGTGAATATTGTATCACCAAGAATTTTTAATATATCCTAATACTAACGACGACGCCATGTCGTTCCAAACGAATACCATTTATGGTAAAAGGAGAGTTGTGCATTGTTATTAATAAAATGTCACAAGATTACGTTGTTAAAAAAAATATATCCTAACTAAACTAAATAAGTCAATTCATTCTATTGTCTGTGTTAACCAACAACAATTATGTATTTTCTACATTCCAAGTCATGTGTCACAAGTTGTAATATTATGATCTAAATCAATGAAATTAATTTTTAAAATTTTACACTTTAAAAAATGTCAACATTTGGAGGAATTGAAAAGGAATTGGAAGAGGCGAAAAAGAGATTGGAAAAGGTTGAGAAAAGTTGGAGAGATTGAACGAGTTGAAAAAGTTATTGAGGGGAGTTAAGTAGAAAAATAAGAAATGAAAAGAAGGAGGAGCAAAATTTACGAAACCTTTAGGAAGAATAAGAGCAGCAACTTTAATAGCATGCATACGAACCAAATCCTTAGCATTATTAGAAGTAAGTTTAACGGTGGTGCTTGTCTTAAGATATCTTCTTTTTGGTTTGGCCAAACTTATCAGTAAAATACAAAGAAAATTATTCTTTCCTCGATGGTTCCGATTATGAACCTTTTTAGACTGTTGACTAAGTCAGCATATTTAATTTATTCTTAACATCTTCATTAATCCGGTTGCCAATAATATTAATATTAGCATTAATGCGTTTTTTGTGTACGAAAACCGCACCCTTTCATGTTTTTAAGTACGGGAAAGTGATTTTCTAGCGCATTATGTATCAAAGAATACGTTTTTTCATACGCATCTATCCAGTACTTATCCTGTACATAATTTTTATAGGGACTTGTTGAGATAAGGGTTGTCTTATCCTAGTTGTAAGCATATTTCATTTTAAATTTAAAATTGCTTTAAAATTTGATTTGATTCAATTCATTCGGAGCCTTACATACTGTGTGTATATATCAAAAAAAAATTTAATTGATTAGAAAACCATAATTTTTTGAGATGAAAAATATTATTATTAAAAGGAAGACAAAAAAAAAAAGATTCTTAATAATCATTTTTTAAAAATCTAAATGGTTTCTTGTATATTCGGAATGAGCTTTTTGTATATATGACTATTTGCTGATAGAAAAATAAATAAGTTACATCTATCACTAGAGATGGGCAAATGGCGTATAGTTGAACACTATACGATACTATACGATACTTTACGTATAGTGCGTATAGTGCGTATAGTAGTTTGAAATTTGATTGGGTGATTTTCAAATAATAATAAAAAAAAAATAATTTGGCTATTACGATAAGCATAAATCTTTAATTTATTCAACCTACACTTTTTTAGGTTTTATTTATGAATCATTCATTATATTGAATGAATTAAATATCATAAAAATCAAAACTGCTTTCATTTTTATTTAATTCTTCAATAAAATTTTCAATTATGTTGTAATTTATCTGTACACTACTAGTATTTGAAGTATTAAAATGTTCTCCAAAATAATTTCT